GACGGCGAGACCCGAACCAAGCTGCGGTGGTTTGTGGGGTCTACAGTGCTTATGGTGTCCGGTGGAGTGCTTGGAGTAATCGGTGAGCACTAGGAGCATCAATTGACGGAGGCACCCAGTCGGGGTGGCAGGCGGTCCTTCACAAATGCACAAACAACTTATACCCTTAATGGAAGCAATTTAGGGATAACAACACATGAGAAGGACTTGGGATTTGTTATAGACAACAAACTATGCAACAATGTGCATTGTCAATCAGCAGTGGCTAAGGCCAGTAAGTTATTGTCATGCATGAAAAAGGGCTTTAATTCTCAGGATGAGAATATCATTTTGCCTCTTTATAAATCACTGGTTGGACCACATCTTGAAGATGCTGTGCAATTTTGGGCACCTGTTCTAAAGAAGGATATTACAGCACTAGAAAAAGTGCAGAGGCGGGCTACAAAATTAATAAAAGGAATGGAACATTTTAGCTATGAAGAAAGGTTAACAAATGTAAACCTCTTTAGTTTAGAAAAACATCATCTCAGAGGGGATATGATAGCATTATACAAATATATCCGGGGTCAATACAAACCATTGTGTGGAAATCTATTAACAAACCGGACTTTACATAGGACACAAGATCATGCGTTTAGACTGGAAGAAAGAAGATTTTGTCTAAGGCAAAGGAAAGTTGTTTTTTTACCGTAAGAACAATAAGGATGTGGAATTCTCTGCCTGAAGAAGTGCTTTTATCAGAGTCCATACAGATGTTTAAACAGCAACCAGATGCATACTTGCAAAAACAGAATATTCAATTCTATAATTTTTCAACTGTATGGTAATAGCTTCTTTATTCAAGGATAAATCTCACTGTCATTCTGGGGTCAAGAGGGATTTTTTTCCTAGTTTGTTGCAAAATTGGAAGTGTTTTAAACTGTTTATTTTTCCTTCTTTTGGATCAACAGCAAAAAACAAATGGCTGAATTTGATGGACACATGTCTTTTTTTTCAGCCTATGTAACTATGGAAAATCAAATAGTAGAATCTTCAAAGAAGAAATTAAAGACACAGAGAAAACCAAAACATGCAATAAAAACTATGAGACAATAGGTGGAATAAAAAGTGATTATGGAACAAAGTCCATCAGCCAGTCCCTGCCATGTGCCCTGGTGTAAATGGAGAAGTTTTGTGAATGTCTCAGTGAGAAGCATTGTTGGAAGCTGATTGAAGTAGTGGTTAGACACCCAGGACAATAATCTGTAGAAAAGTAGGGTTCCTGCAAGATCTTAAAGTTGGTGCTTCCTTCCAGTGGCTAACTATTGAAGGGTGTTGTGATGAGCCTAAATTACTGGCACCAGGCGAGCGTAGCTTGACAAAGATCCTAATAATAGGAGAAGTTTGAGTCCTCAAATGTGACAGGACTTAAATGGGGACACTTTTCAACATAAAAAGAGTTTGCAATTTCCAGTATGCTCAGATTGTGTTATCGTAGTCAGTCATTCCGGATGGCTATCTTGTTAGCCAGAGCTTCTTGAGACTAGTGGTGTTGTTAGGTGAGTAGCTGTCATGGCACAGCTAAGTACTCACCTGCCCCTGGGCGCCCACACTGCCCTCGCGGCAGAATCGCAGTTCTCACTGCTCCTGAGAGATCCATTGGGGAGGAACAAGTCAGGGACCAGGGACTAAAACAAGATGGCGCCGAGTCCCTGACCTCTTTATATAACATCTGTGTGCCCACCTACCTGTGGGAGGTGGCTGGTTATGTGATCCCTGCTACCTATTTAAACCCAGCACACCTTCCAGTCAGTGCTTGATTATTTTGCTTTTTGCTTTATACCTGCCTTTTGTCCTAATCTCCAGCTTCAGTTCCCGGTTCCTGCTTCCTGATTCCTTACACAACTGCTGTAGCCTGCTTCCTGACCTAGATCCCGATTAATCGTTTACTTCTGTCTGCTGCAAGACTGCATTTTTGTTTGCTTTTCCTGCTCCAGCTTCTATTCCCGGTTCCTGCTTCCTGATTCCTTGGACAACTGCTACAGCCTTGCAGTTATAGTAAAGGAGTGCTGTTCCGCTGCAAATTGGGTTCCATCCACTCCACGACTCTCCAGGTGGGTGTGACAGTAGCAGAACAGATGAGTTGACTTGTTGAAGATACACAGAGACTTCTTCAGTTGCTTATAACACTGTCACCTCCTGGTTCATTCTGCGCAGTACTCTTTTTACAATTCTTGTTTAGTTTTCTTGTTTTTTCTGGTTTTCTATTCTATGTCTGGTTTTCATTATGCTGGGTTTTCTGGGTTCATTCCTTTATTCCATTCCTGGAATTCCCAGTCTCCTTTAATCCTTTAAATGTTTGTTTTTTGTTACCACACCCATTCCTTTGCCATTTAATCCTTTTTGTTTCAGTGTGTTTCCTGCTTGCAGTGGTCTCATTTCCTCTGCACCTTTCCTTGCAGGTAAGTACTGTGTGTTTTATTGTTGTACATTTAGTCATGCATATCTAGGCAGTTAGTACACACCGTAATTGGAGTACTTTGGCGCAGTGGTGGGCTGCATACATCTTAGCCATTTATGTATGTCTAAATCTCCAATGTTTATTACATATATAGTATTTAGTTCTGTTTCCTATTGTTTTGTCTTGTATCTCTTGTCTCGTTTAATTTGTCTTATATTCCCAGTTCATTTACAGTCCTGTTCTGTCCTGTCCATGTTTCCCTCATGTATTGTGTAAATGTTCTGGGTTCTGCTTTCTGTCCTGCTCCGGTTCTGGGTTGTTCTAGTCTTGTCTTGTTATCTTGTATGGTGCCTATTCTAGTCTTGCCTTATTTTCTAGTACTGGATACATATCTGCTTAATATCAGCTCCTGGCATCCGCTAAGTTGCATCAGGGCTCTGGTATGTGGCCGCACAAATCATGGTGCTCAACACCAGGGGGCCTGCGGTTACGCTACACCAGACCCTGATTTTCCATTTCCACGCTGAGACTCCTATCAACTTCATCAGGCATACAGGGATCCCGGTCTTCAGACCACCACCCGTGACAAACATGGACCGTAAAAGTGTGTATTTTCTCAAGCATCACTGCTTAATCGGATGGAATAGTTTACATCGTATGTCTCATAAGAGGCCTTTTACATCAGCGTTCTCATCTTCTGATAAGGAGATTCAAGTTATTTCCTCAAACAGGCAAAGAACTGCTTTGAGTGAAGCAAGTCCCCAATATCTTAAGATTCCTCGCCTTCTCAGGTCTCTGGGATCTTTTCATTATTGTTACTGCTAATCAGCCCAACAAAAACAAAAATAATATAGTTATAATTTCTGCAAAAAGCATCAAAATGGGAGTAATAAACTCCCCAAACTATCTTTTAATTATATTACCAACCAAAAACATGTAAAACAACCTTCAGAATAAAAAAAAAATTAGCAAAGAACCTTGATAATCTCCATCATTGACAAGATAATATGTTATTTCAAATTGGTACCTAAGTGCAGGTAGGAACTTCAATGGGACAATGTGGACAACTGAGCTCTGCATGAGCAAATGAGAACAATCCATATCCTATATGTTCACACAAAGCTTGTTTGTTGTTAAATGTAAATCAGGGTGTCAGTGTGCAACGTGTTTAAAATAAAAATGTGTGCTGGTGAATGTGTGCATATGGAATTGCATGAATATAAAAAAGTGTTCTTTATGTGCCTGAGATGTAAATGGTTCCTCTAATCTCCTCTGCTGTATATCATTTGAATGTGTAAACTGAAATGTATCTCTTCTCTCCTTTTCTTACTGTAACCTCCAGAGGGTAATGTAGGTTTGTCAGGAAGTGGACAGATATGGGCAAACGTGTACAGTACTGTCAATCGTAAGGGTAGTTGGTAAAATGTTTAGTAAAATACCCCTCCCAAGTCTCATACAGTGTTCACAAGACATTATTAATGAGTTTTCTTCAAACCTAGGAAATTTGGATTATTTGAGGAATGAAACTGAATTTTTCTTATGTACACTTTGTTATTTTGTAATACTAGAAAAGACTTACATCTAACATTTTAATAAAGGACAAGAAGAAAAACTATGATGTGGCAAATCCACAATTTGCAATATTCTGGTTGACGCACATACATATAAAACAAACAGAATTTTTACATAAATGAGATACAATAAAACCACAGAAAAAAATATTTTCTTAGATACTCAGAGGAAGGGCATTGTCTGACTATTCCAGACTTGAATGGCATTATCAAGCATTTATAAATATCCATGAAAATGACATGTTCCTGAAAGAAACATCAGTTGTCATGGAAACCATAAACAAGGCCATGGTCAGAAGAAAATGCATAGAATGAGCTGGATCCAAAACACAATGTAAGGTATATACAGATATTATTGATAATCAAGTAAATCAATTTCATAGAGTGATATTAAAATTGTGCAAGCAGTAGATACTGTATTTTACAATTAGATTATAACACAAGAACACAATCACTGATTTGAAATACATTTGTTAAAAACAGTCACAACAGAATTTGTAGATGTCAAAAATATAACTAAAATGACTACTAGTAAAATGGAATCAAGCCTGATCATTAATCAGTAAACCAACAACACACCCAGATATATCTCTCCTGCCCTGATCTCTCCCCGCTGTCCTAGAACACGTCACCGGTTGCCTTTTTTCCATCCAGCTTGGATGGAAACTCAATCTCTCTAAAACTGAACTTCTTATTATTACTCCTCATAATACTAATCCTCCTCTTTTGCTTTCCCTGCATTTTGATAATACCCGCATCAGCCTGTCCTTGCAAGCTCACTCTATTGGTGGTATCTTTGATGCTGACCTCACCTTTACACCTCACGTCCAGTCTATTGCCAAACCCTTCCAATTCCACCTTAAAAACATTGCTATGGGGGGAGGTGCTACAGGTTGCCTGGGCAGACGTGTTCAACAAGAGCTCCATACGAATTGGCATTCACTAAAGCTTTTTAAAGCTCATCAACTGCCTGGTCTCAACATGGGAAAATGCTTGCAAAAGTGGAATTCTCACCTAGAGCACTGCTCCCGAGATATATCGGGGATCTCCTGCTCAGAGGAGCACTGCATGGAATGCCCAATATGGTCGGCACGGCAGCGGAGTCTTCTTTGGAAGACAAGTTTCCCTTAGATGCTCTGGACAACTGGTTGAAGGCTTGCACCACTTATCCTCGGACGAGGTGGCTCACACCGCAGCCACCATGTGCAGGATATCAAGTCCCTGTTGAATGACACGCACTCCCTGTTCAATGCCAATTTATCGCTAATTCAGGAGAACATCAAATCACTTGCAGATAGGATCAGAGTGACTGAGGAAATAGCCATTGAGATCAAGACCAAGCAGGTCACAATGCAGGAGTCCCACACCAAGATGAAGTGGACTCAGGAAGAAATAAAAGCAATAGTGGCTAAGCAGGAGTGTCCCAGAGGAAGTGACTACGACCAAGCTACCTCACTACCTACGCCACCTGTTCCTAAACCTACTACCACCCAAGACATAAAACAGTTCTAGGGATTCAGTGGTAGCGGCCGGTCACTCTTGGAAGTTCCATATGACTGAAATACTCGGGCTGGTTGGTAGCGTTTGTTCGTATGGCTCATGTGAACAAATCCACTGAACGGCACTCTTCTGACATGTATGTGAGAGAAGCAGGCATTCATCAAAGTTTAGTGGTATTCAGGAGTTTCAGTGAGTTCCATGAACTCAACGTCCGAACACTGTTGCCTGCATTCTTGCCGCACAATTAGAACCCACACTGATTGAAGTGTCAGGAGGGGTTAACAAGGGTCAATAAGCTCAGAGGTGGTCTGCAGTTTGTGAGTTGCTTTGGTTCCCGAACAGTATATATAAATCCCATGAACCAAGTCTTTTACTAGCCTTTTAGCTGGGTCTATAGTCCTGAGGCAAGGAGTTAACTAGCAGGCTCCTCTAGGAGCTAACTAGCAACCTTTTAGTAGCACTGTGCTGAAATAGGATTTTGATGTCCCATCCCATCTGATACCAGTCTTATTTTTTTAAACAGAGGTGTGTATGCTGCCGTATTCTGCTTGTGTTAGTTATACTGCAGTTGCTTTGTGTTGTTGTATTTGTGCGTATATGAGCTATTATGTTGGATATGTTCATGAGTAGCTTATGATATCATGCATAATACCTATGAATGTGGGCTATATATGGGGTCTGCTTGTGAAATTGTGTGTGTGGATGGATATGTCACATTATGTATTTGGTAGTGTTTGTATGTGTGGGGCTGTTTGGGGTATTGAATATGAGGCTGCATGTGGGGTTGTGTGCATGTTTGTGGAATGTTAGTGGTGTTGAGTTTGTGCAGATTGTGTGTTGTGTTTGTGTGTCGGCTGTTCATATTATTTGTATGAGGGGAGGGTTATTCTGCAGCTCTGTGTATATCTTGCAGTGTGGGTGGCTTCCCTGGGTTCCAGTGGGGACCAGGCTGGCCAGGTACAGGTCAAGTATAGGAGCTGAAACAGCAGCTGCATGCTGCTCTACTCCAGTGTGGATTCCCATTCACAAGTGTTGGAATGAAGTGATCTAAGATCACTTCCTCTACGTGCTTCAATGTATAAATTGAGTATTGTCCTTCACCAACTTTTCGTATTAGCAGATATCTGAAGTTTCACTGGGTCTCCTGATAGGCCAGAGCATGTTTGGCTCTAGCAGCCTTGAGTGCCATGCAAAGACACCTTGAGTGCCGTGCAAAGATACCTTGAGTGCCGTGCAAAGATACCTTGAGTGCCGTGCATGGCACATGTGCCATAGGTTGCCTACCCCTCTTTTGTGACAAAAAACTTATGCCCTCCCAGAGTAACTTCTATCTCACAAATCTGTCTCTTACTCTCTTTTATAGGAGCACACTCTACTCTCACCTTCCAATTCTGCTACTTTTCCACCTTGCCGTTTGGTTGCTATCACCCTCAATGTCCTTCTGTGTTTTTATACCCCATCTCCTCTAGACTGTAAGCTCATTGAGAAGGGTCTTCATCAACTTATTGTTTCTTTAACATTTTGTAATTGTGTCATTTATTGTTAAATTTCCCCATTTTTCAATATTGTAAAGCACTGCGGAATAATTTGGCACTATATAAATGCCAAAAATAAAATAAACACGTGTTTATAACAGAGTTTCTCTTTCAGAATATAATGGACTAAAATTCTCATAATTATTTTATGTAATCATGGGAATTGTAGTACAAGAGGAGCTGAAGAACCATAGTTGGACATTTTTGATCAAATGTATTCTGAATGTTTTTTGTTCAGTTTTGCCAATTTTTTAAAAAGAAAAGAGTAGATGTTTTGTGATGATGCACATATTTTAAACATTTTTTTATTCTGCTTTTTAAAATTCGTATTGCAATTTAAAATGATAATCTATTAATATAAATAGAAAAACTATTCTTAAAACACCTATCACAATATAGCAGGAGAAAAGTTTTAATATAGATCTCTGGCAATTTAATAATCTTTGTTGTAGTTCTAAACTTCTACCACCAGGTGGCAAAAGACTATTAAGGATTAATCCACCTTTCATGTTCATTTTGACTACAGGCGAAAAATAACATTCAATACTGACAATGTAATTATAATGTAAATAAAATATGTTATATCTATTTTTGGTCCCTTAAGAAAATAAAATAATGAGTGAAAAGTAAATTAATCATGACATTGATTGTTGAGCAACGTCTGAAATGTTAAAAGAGCTCCAGGGTTCAGAATGATAAAGGCAAAGTAGAACATTGCTATTAGAGATCAGCATCACCATGACAACATCTCGACTAGCAAAGACACATAATGCTGCTTTAAAGTAACAGCAGGATGAATGTGCACTAAGATGGATTTAACGCAAGCTTTGATTCCATTCATTGCATAAACAAATGTTTGCTATTCTTCTTATAATTAATTGTTTAAATTATATTAACACAAAATGACCTGGGTCATAGATTAAAAGAAAATAATCAATTTTCTAAAAATATTTTTCATTATTCTTTATTTTAAGAGGTGATTTATTTATTTTTAACATACTGTGCAGAATCTAATGAATCACATGCACGATTTAGTAAATCATTCCCTCAATAGGTAACCGAATATGTTCACAAAACAATACACAAAATTATAAAAAAAAAAAAACTCACAAATTACTGAGAGGGGTAGCAATCCATTCTAGAAAACTACAATAACATAAGAATCATCCCATATCCTCATTCAGCCAATCATATTTAGCTATGGACAGGCTGGTTATTGTTGCCCAGGTTATTGTAGTCCAAGAACCTGTTTCTTATGCAGCCCTGGTTTTTGTGTGCACAAGTACACTGTGCATGCTATTTAATAAATGAGAAGAGTGACATAAGTATCCTGTGTGCATGTTCTATTACATTGTGCCCATGACATACTGTGCTCACATTAAAAAAATACTTCATGGCACCTCTAGGACTCGATAAGAAGGGCTCAAATAGGCATTCAAGAAAAAAATATCTTGCACATGCTGAACCCAGATAAATAAGGTATAAAACCAAATAACCATCACTAGCAGTGGGATATCTTAATAAAAATGATCAAAACTCAAATATGCACTTTTTTAAAATTTTTCTTTGCAAAGTTGTGTGCTTCTATACAATTATTTTGCAAGTGTGTCTTTTTTTAATTTTCTAATTGTGTAACAATCGATTAAAAGTTGGAAAGAGTGACAATTACATTCTTTTTGTATTGCAAGTTTATTTATTTTTCTATTATAAAATCATTCATGAATTCATTTCTGCATCAGTGATGTAAAAGTTTTTAATTTTCTATAAAATATAAAACATACATTACTTATATTGTTGCACACTTTGAATTGCTGTTATAGGCAAACACTGTTAGGGTTATTCACTAACTGTGAATTGTCAGGAACAGGGAGTTTCAGATATTTTGTCAAAATAGAAGAGATCAAAATATAGGTAAGTAGATTTTTTTTTCTAGTTCGGCTAAAAAAATATATATATCATAGTCAAGACATAGTTCAGAGTATAACCATGTGTATTAAAATGGAGTTCTTTGTGTTATTCATTCGCCAGCTAGTTTCTACATTTTGTTATTATTTAGGTACTTTCACCAACTCTTTACCTTAGTTCCAATTTCTTAAAGAAAGATGTTATGGTATCTGGAGGTCCTCGGTGCCATGTTATCTTAAGGGGTTAAACTCTTTATGAACAGGTTAACACAAAGTTTTCCAGACTGGGCCATCTGCTCTGCCCCTCTTTTTGGCCCCTGTTCCTGGCTTTAATTAGGAAGCCTGGGTGTCGGTGATAGACTAAGAGCATGAACTGATGCTCTCAGCCCATCACTAGCTTCCCATTGATAAAACTGCATAAGAGATGTATATACATTTCTCATGCAGTTTTATCAATAGGTTGTTAGTGAGATGAAGCTGTTATGGTACCCAGAGTATTTATTTAAACCTTTAATTGCAGTTAAAATATTCAACACAGGACAAGAGATAAAACGTTGTAGGGGCAGGGCCTGACCTCCATGTGGAATGGATGTGTAGTATGAGAGCTCCTCATCAATGTTCTACTATAGGTGTAGCATTGCCCATATTACCTCTTCAAATGCAGTTCTATCACACCTATTCCTGGCTTTTTCAACAGCACATGTAGTGAGGCCTGAGAGGCGCACCAGACGGGAGAGACAGCTTATCTCCCAAAACCCAACTTTATTTGTTTGGTGCACTGTGCCCCAACCCCCTCTGGACTGGTAGGGGAAGACCCAGTAAACACGTTTGTGGTCCCAGTGTTCCACTGAATGCCAAATGTATCTCGGCAAGTGAGCCAGCTCTCAGCACTTCCCACAAAACATCAGATGTCAGCATGGAAGTGTTACCATATCTAAACTTGTGAAGTTTTTTACATAGTTTTGTAAAAGATCAGCAAGCACCAGCAAAGTAGTGATCTTCTGTGGCTATGAACCCAATCACCCGGAGCCACCTACGGTGAAAGTACCTGGCTCCAAGACCAAGGAGAACACAAACATGGCAGAGAGACCTGTGTAGACACAAAATCGAAACAGCCACGCACAACATCTCTTCAGGCCTGCACCAGTTGTGGTCTTTTCCTGCTCCATCCCAACAAAATAAACTGATGGTGGGGTCCTTACAGTCACAGCTAGGCCCATCTACATGCTCTAGTCTGAAGCTCCTGCAACCTCCACCTGGGCCCTAATGCCTGGAGATTACCTCACCAAAGGG